GTTGTTGCTCAGTGCCCTCAGATCGGTTCCGACTCATAGCAATCCTCTCTCCAACAGGAGGAGGCATGGCCTGGTCCTGCCCCATCCTCGCGTTGTTTTGTTGTGAAAGAGAACCCCAAACAGCCAAACTCACAGAGCTGGGGGAAAAGAATGTTCTAGGTAGAGTGCAAAGGCCCTGAGTTGGGAGAAGGAAAAAAAGACCTCTCATTGTCATCGGGTCTATTCTGACTCAGAGGGACCCCATCCAACAGGATAGACCTGCCCCTGGGGGTTTCTTAGACTGTAACTCTTACAGGAGTAGAAAGCCTCATCTGTCTCCCTTGGAGCAGCTGGTGGATTCAAACTGCTGACCTTGTGGTTAGAGTACCCCCTTGTGCCACCAAGGCTGGAGTAGAGAGGCCAAGGAGGAGGGCGGAAAAGATAGGTTGTTTTTTTATGACCACACTCAGGGCTGAAACCCTCATTCAATGCATTGCCCTCAGGGACCCCCTGCGTTGGTTGTAGGAGACATTTACAACAAGAGAAGCAAGCCACAACTCCTACATAGATGCCACTTGCCAGCAGTGGGACCTCTCTGGCTCCATTGCTTCATCTGTCAAGTGGACTGCTGACACCCCACCTCAGGTGGGTATGGTGGGTGGAAGGTGAGCTGGTGGGTGTAAAGTGCTCCTCACAGCACCTGGCCCAGGTGTTTATTGATTGCAGCATTTGGTCAGGGTGTTAAGGCTACGTGTGCTATCTCAAAGATGGTGTGTGCACAGGGCACTATCGCTTTTGGTGCGGGGCCAGGGGCTGTGCGGAGGCAGGCTGCCCAGGAGAGGAGGGGCAAAAACAAGCTCTGTGATGTGAGGGATCTTTGTTTTGTTCACTGCTGTGTCCCCAAGCACCTGGAATGGTGCAGGTGCACAGGAGAGGTTCAATAAACACTTGGGCTGGCCAGCTGAAGCCAAGGACATGGCTTGAGCAAAAGGCCTGAAAGGGTAAAAGGGGATGGGGCATGCGGGGGACAGTGAGTAGCCTGGCATTGCTAGACCTGGGAGTGTGTGTCTGAGGGTATGTGTATATGGTGTGAGGAAGGGCTAGAGGAATTAAGGAGGAATGTCCCTAAAGACCAAACACGCAATAAATAACATTAAATAAATGAATGCATTAGCGAAGACTCTCTAGAGATAACTGAGAGGTGGTCAAGGAAAGAAAAGAAGGTTCTAGGGCAGTGGTTCTCAACCTTCCTAATGCCACTGCCCTTGAATACAGTTCCTCCTGTTGTGGTGACCCTACAACCATAACATTATTTTTGTTGATACTTCTTAACTATAACTTTGCTACTGTTAGAATCGGGCAATCCCTGTGAAAAGGTCATGCGACCCCCAAAGGGTTCGTGACCCACAGGTCGAGAACCTCTATTCTAGAGAGAGAGACTAGCACATGCAAATATCTAAGAGAGAGAGTGTGAGAGAGAGAGAGAGCATTTAGAAACTGAAAGAGCAGCCAGGTTGGGGCAGGAAGGGAGTGGGGGAAGATGGAGCCAGGGAGGGGTAGTTCACACAGGGCCTGAGGTCATGGCAAGGGGCAGGGACTTTTTCACAGGGGGCATGGGGAGCTAAGGATGGTTTCTGAGCAGACTGGAATTTTCGTAAGATCCCTATGGAGGACTAGGGGCAGAGGCAGAGAAGAAAGGGGGCAGAGGCAGAGGACAGGGGCAACCAGGACCCAACAAGGTGACTGCAGTTTGTCCTGGTGAGGAACGGTGGAAATGGGGTCCAGGGATTGAAGAGCTGTTTGGGAAGGAGAACCATCAGGCTGGAAATCGGGGGCGGGGGAGCAGGCAGGGTCCAGGTGTCTGGGTGGCAGATGGTGCCATCTCATATGTTGGGAAACACAGACGCTGTGGGGGTGAGCTGATGAGGGGGGACAAGCTGAGTTCCAGGAGTCTAGGAACCATTCAAGAGACGCTACACCTGCACGCCTGGGGCTTGAAGCTCAACAGGGAGGCCAGGACCAAGGGAGAGTGGGACAGTGGGGCACGAGGAGGGAGGTCGGTCCAGGAGGGCATGCTGGAAGCCCCAAGAGAGGTAAGTAGGCTTAGAAGCAGCAGCCGGGGAGACAGGAGAAAAATGGGGGGTGAGGGGTAGGGAAGTGGTATGGGATGGGGGTGGGATGGGGAGGGGAAGGTTAGCCAGGGATTCTGGAAACAAAGTCTGAAAGGCTTCAAGGAGGAGGGAGGAGGCCCCAACCCAGCCAGGGAGCAAGGAAGATACGGCTGCTTCTTGGGGCTTGGCTAGTAGGAGGAACAGAAAGTGGGTGGCGGGGAGCAGGCTTCCAGAGAGAGGAGACTTTAGTGGGGAGCTTCACTCTGTGAAAGAAGTGGGAGAGGCTAGAAGCTGCTGTGGGGTTGGGGGTGGGGATGGTGGGTTAATTTTGCTGCCAGGAGAGCTTCCAGTGTTTAGAAGTGGTTATCCTGAGCCAGTTTGGAGGTGGTTGGGAGGAACAGGAAAGAGCAGGCAACCCTGGGGTGGGGGGGTGCCCCAAGGTGGGGTGATACTGGAAGCCCTCGGTAATGGCTCCCAAGCTTCAGGTTGGTGACTTGGGGCTGGGAGATGGACAGGATTTCCATGGGAGGCTTCTAATTTCTCTGTGGAGTGTCAGGGCTGTCTCCCTGGGAGTTGGGGCTGATGCAGGCCATCCAGCAGAGGTTGGCTGGGTTTTTTTGGGTGGGGGGTCATCTCCCATATATGAGGAGCACGAGAGCCTCTACCTAGAGACAGCTGAGGCCTAGGGGGCCTTGGTGAGTAGCCCAAGGTCACAGGGCACGTCCTTCAAATAGGGCCTTGCACTTCCAGAGCGGTGGGCTGCCAGCCTCCAGCTCCCGCACTGGCCCCCTTACCCTGAAGAGCGCCGCGTCCTGCTGTGCCTGGTAACCCAGTTTGGCTGCGTGCTTCCAGGGGATGCGGAAGACGGTCTTGCCGGCGTCTTCCCAGCACAAGCCCGCGTAGCGCCCGCTCTCGATCTGCGCCACCAGCCAGTCGCGAAGACGCAGGGGACCCCCTGCCCCCGCCATGGAGGTCTCTTCCCTTCCTGCTCCTTCCAGAAGGCGCCGCCTGGGCCCGTCTGGTAGGAACGCTGCGCACTTGGAGGCCAGGTCCTGGAAACCGCAGCTGAACCCTAGCGCTGCTGGGGGGTGGTCACCGGGGCCACCTGGATGGCGTGTGTGCAGAAGCAGCGAAAGCGAAAGTTAGGAGAGCTTTCGCTTTCCGTTCTGGCCCCACTCCCAGACGCCCTTTCCTTTCGACCCTCCTTCCCCGTGACAGCCGGGCGGGGAGGGTGCTGGGGCGGGAGGGCCTAAAGGGTGACTCACCCGCCTCTCGCACCTGCTTTCCCAGCCCATCCAGAAACGTACCTGTCCCTCTCCAGGCCCTGCGCTGGCTGTAAAGCTGAGCACCTCTCAAACTCCAACTGCTGTTGGAAGGGCGAGGAGGGGACCAGTGACTAGCTTCAAATGATCACCGCTAGCCTGCCCTCACTCACCACATCTGATGCACAGCCCCGGTGGTCCCCACCTCCTGGCCACTCACCACTGCCTGGGCCTGACCACGTTCTTTCCCGGAGCATCTAAAGTAAGGTGACCAGACGTCCCGTTTTTTAACAATTTGTCCCGCATTCCAGGGCGTTTTTTTAAAAAGTCCCGATTTTTGGAAAGAATGCACAAGCTAGGGTATATGGTTTTCGGCTGCCATGTGGCTATTTCGCCGGGAAATGATTTTTATCAATGGTGTCCCGCTGGTATCCCACTTTACCAATGTTAAAATCTGGTCACCTTAATCTAAAGGGACTCTCTTGGCAGCAAATGGTGTGAACTCTAGTGAAGGAGCCCTGGTGGCATATGCATACCAGTTGGGCTGCTAACTGCAAGGTCAGCTGTTTGAAACCATCTGCTTCTCTGAGGAAAAACTAGACTTTTGACTCCAGAAAAGAGTTCCAGTCTCAGAAACTCACAGGGGCAGTTCTACTCTGTCCTATAGGGTCATTCTGAATCAGAAGGGACTCCATGGCTGTGGGTGAACATCTGGGAGAACCCCGTCATTTTTCTGAGGAACCCACCCCCAAAACCAAGGTCATTGAGCTGATTCCGTCCCATACGACAGAGCAGAACTGCCCATCGGGCTGCAATCTGTGGAAGCGGCCACCATGTCGCTCTCCCTGGGAGCAGTTGGCATGTTTGAACGGTTGGCCTTTGACTTGGCAGCTGAGTACTATGCTGAAGAGGGTGGTGGGCTGGCAGCTGGGGCACCAGCATCAGCTTCTCTGTGAAACAGCAGCAGCTACATGAGAAAGGGAGTTAGTCCCAGGGGAGAAGTGCGTCGGCCTGCTAATGGCAACGTCAGCAGTTTAAAACCACTAGCCACTCTGAAAGATGAGGCTTTCTACTCCCATCAAGAGTCTCAGAAACCCACAGGTAATTCTTCCCTGTCCTATAGGGCTGCTGTGACTCAGAGTAGACTCAATGGCAGTGAATGAGACTCCGTGGAGTTGTCTGCATGTCCAAGGGGCGTGGGTAAAGTGTTCCCTCCACCCAGAACCTTCTCTCGCTCTGTCCAGAACCTGGATCGAGCCCTTGGAAAGGCATAGTGCTTCTCAAACAGTCACTCCTATTCCATAGCTCTGACTGGTTTACCTCTGTTAACAGTGATTGACTTAAAATACACAGTCTGTGCTCAATAAACACGTGGTTTTACATTGCTGTTGGAGTGAAAGTCAGGCTGCAATGGACGTGGGGAAGGATCTGGAACATCAAGACAAAATGCTCTGTTGTGTCGCCCAAGTGTTGAAGTTTTTTTTTTCCTTTTTCCCAGACTCACTCTCCCTCTCATACCCATGCAGCCTTGGTGCCTATCCAGGCACGCACTGGAACTGTTACCGCAGACCAGAGGTTTTTAAATAGAAGGGGCATCATCAGAGCTACAAAGGTTTAACTGGATGGGAGAAGGCATCTGAAACCAGCCAGGCATTCCTGGCACTCCCAGCATGGACCAGTCCAGCCTCTGCCCTTCCTGGGCCCACACCACCCTCCAGGGCCCCCACCTCAGGGTCTTTTCACTTACTATTTCTCTGCCTGGATTGCTTGCTTCCCCACCTGTTTTGTTACCCAGTGCGGCTAAGGACAAAAACACAAGTGGTGGCTTTAAACAACAGACTCTTCTTTTCTCAGGAGTTAGGCTAGTAGTAGGCACTAGGGGGAGGCTCTGCTGCTCTGTGCTGGAGGAAGCTCCCAGGTGCTTCTGAGCTACTGCAGCCCAGGGAGATTCACGGGCCAGAGCATCTGGATCCCCCTTGCCCTTTGCTTTATTTCTTTACTATCTCAAGTGATAAAGGACTCTGAGACACCCCACACTAAGCCAGACACGGAACAAAACAAATATAACCCATACCCAAAGGGGTTTCTAACACACCTGGTTCAATCCAACACCTCGAACATCAGCAGCCTGAGGACACTAGCTTTGCTCATGACTGTGGACTCTGTTTTCTAGTGAATTAGTTGGGCTTCTAATCACAAAGTCAGCAATTCAAAACCATCCGCCGCTTGGCGGGAGAAAGATGAGCCTTTCGACTCTCCTACAGAGTTCCAGTCTCAGAGACACACAGAGGCAATTCTTTATGGTCGCCACGAATGGGAAATAACTCAATGGCAGGGAGATGTTTTGTTTTTTTAAACATCTTCAATGCCTCACACAATGTCTACACCGACCGATCAGATTGGATGAATGAGGTTAGGGCAGCAGGCAAAGATGGTTTTGTCTACCTGCCAACTCCCAGATTGCAGCAGCCCTGGTGATGCATCAGGTTAAGCACGTGTGTGTGTGTGTGTGTGTGTGTGTGTGTGTCTGTTGCCGTAAAGTTGGTAGTTCAAACCTACCAGCCAATCTGAAGGAGAACGATGAGGCTGTCTGCACCTGTAAAGATGTACAGCCTTGGAAACCCAACGGATCAGTTCTCCTCTGTCTTGTAGGTTCACCGCAAGCTGGATTCGACTGGACCGCAGGGGGTCTGGTTTGGCTTTGGACCCACCCCACTGCAGGAGACTGGGCTTTCCCATCAGCACAGGGCACTGTGGTTGGCACATTGTTACGAGTCGCTTCCGACTCATAGCCACCTTGTGCACAACCGAATGAAACACTGCTCCATCCTGCGTCACACAATTGTTCATGTGCTTGAGCCCATCGATGCAAACCACCCTGTCAACTCATCTTGTCGAAGGTCTTCCTCTTTTTGACCGTGCCAATGACACACAATAAACCAAAAGCCCATACCCACGGCCATTCCAACTCAGTGGGTTCTGAGATGCTAACTCCTGATAGGAACCAAACCAGAAAAACCAACCTCAGTGCCCTGGAGTCAATGCTGATTCATAGTGACCGCTGCTGGGGGTTCCAAGACTGTAACTGGTTCCAGGAGCAGAAAGCCCAATCTTTCTCCCACAGAGCTGCTAGTGGTTTTGAACTACCGACCATGCAGATCCCTGCCCAACGCGTAACCAGCACATCACCAGGGTTCCTTTCATAGGAACAGACCCCTTTATATACTGCAGTTAGGTGACCGCTATCTCAGACCCTTCACCACGTTAGGCTCATTTTCGTTTAGGAAAAACCAGCTCCCATGACCTCTGGCCTTTACCCTCCAAGCCATGCTCCCTGGCAGGGGGCGGGACTTCTGGTCCTCTCCAAGACCAGAGGGAGCTGCTTTTAACAAGGTGCCTGGCACCCCATCACAGTTCTCAGACAGCCTTAGTTCAAACCCAGCCTCCCCAACTCCAGTTGCCTGACTTCTCCGAGCTTGTTTCCTCCCTTAAGGATTGAGTGAACTCCTGCCTGGGAGGAAGGCACTTACTGAATACATTTATGACAAGAGAAGGGAGCCCGCTAGGGGCTCAGGGAGGGAGGAGGGGGGCACACAGAGAAGAGAGACACTCAGGGACCTTGTCAGGAGACCCCAGGGCTAGGGAAGTGGGGAGGGCCTCATTAGAGAAGCGGGTGCATTTGGTGACATGGACTTCACTGGCAGGCTAGTGGGGAAACAGTCTGCACTGTCTACAGAACCTCGAGGTGGAGAGTGACCTACCCAGCCGTACCACCATCGGAGGAATGACCCTCTGCTAGAACCTGCTTCTAGAAGGATTACAGCCAAGAATGGAGCCTTCCTCGCTAACACACAGGCCCCGGGGTGGGCACGAGTTGGAATCGGTGGGTTTTTAGGGCTCCTTCGCATCCTGCAGGCTCCTGGACTGAACAGGGCACAGTTCCCCTTTGGTTGCTGAATAACTTGGAGAGAGACAGGTGGGAATCTTCTAACTTATTTTAATATCCTCCAGGCCCTGTGGGTCCTCACCTCCCAGCCCCCCCACCCTCCATCCCCAACGTCAAGGGTCGAGGCCCGGGTGCCCCCTCCCCCAGCCAGAGGACTAAGGCACCAGGTGGCTGCAGCAGGCCGGGCCGAGGACAGCAAGACGGACAGCAAGACGCACAGAGGAAGGACACACGATAGACACGGACTAGCAGGAGGGTAGGGCGGGGCTCAGGCCGTCACCAAGGGGCCCCTCGGGTTCTGGAGGCCCACGCAGACCCCGAAGGGGTCCAGTCGGGAGGAAGAGGCAGGGTGGGCTCCTCACTTGCCCCCTTTGCGGGACAGACACCGCGGGAGGCAAGAGAAAGTCTGTTTGACGCGTGCCAGCAGCGGCAGCGGCCGGTGGGTTTCCCGGGCCGGCCGTGGCATCAGGCGCTGGAGGGTTCCCTCTGAGGCCCCCGAGGCCCCCGAGGGCAGCGAGGGGGAGGCCGTCGAGGGGGCGGCGCCCTGACGGCAGCGCTTGCACAGCGGCAGCAGCGCACGCATGTCCTCCTCGTCCCGAAACGGGCTCTCTCCGAAGCGCTCCTCCAGCTGCCGGCGAAGCTGTGGCGGAGAGCAATGGGGTGGCATCAAGGCCGAGCCCAGGTGATCGGACCAGTGGCTTCCAGACTGGACATCCCCCCGAGCTGACCTGGCCCAAGAAAGCTGGCCGCCCTCACTCTGCTCTTTCTCCCCCACCTCCCCGCAACCCTCTACGCGCCTCCCCTTCCAGAGCCTCCCCAGAGCCACCTGTCTCCCTGGCTCAGAATTCCCACCTCCCATCTGCAACACCAGCTTCCAGAACCCCCGCTCCCCCACCCCCCCAAAAAAACACCCACACCCATCCCACGGGGGCTGGATTAGCTGGAGGGCCACCTTCTCAAGTTTCCAGGGGCTTCACCATCACTTCTTACCAAGGGGTGCTCAGTCAGCTCCCATGGGGGAAAACCCCACCCCACCAGCAGCCTCGGAGCCCAGTCAGGCCCCCCAGCCCTAGCTCCTACCTTCCGGGAACTGCCCCAGCCGAATTCCTCCAGCTGCTGCTTGAAGCCTGGGTTGGGGTTGGCAATGGGTCGGTTGGCCTTGATGGCTTCCAGCACTTCACGCCAGCCTAGCCCCGTCACAGTCATCACGTATGCAGTCACCACGGTGGTGCTGCGGGAGATGCCTGCAAAACTGGCCCCGCCCCCAGGCTTCGGGTGAAGGCCCCACCTCTCCCATGGCCCACCCCAGGCACCCCATTCCTCCCCTCAGCTCTTCTGCCCTTGCCTTGGAACTCCAATCCATGAGGAACCTGCTAGAATCTCTTCTCCTACCTCCTGGTATTCCCTCTGACTTAAGTATTCCCCTTGGAATTCTCCCACATTAACAGCCCCAAACAGGAATGTCACTTCACTCATTCATCCAACAAGCATTTCTGGATGGTCTGTTGTTTTCCCAAGGCCCTAGCACAAACCGTCTAGGCCTCTGCCCTACTGGCCTTTGCAGCAGAGTGCTGGGGACAAAAGTTAACAGGGAGGCAATTTCAGGCAGGGATCAGTGTTTCAGGCATGTCCAAGGGGCTAGGAGAACCTACAGGAAGAGGGAAGGGGTATTGATCTGGTGGGGAGGAGATATGAGGAGGATTAGGAAAGAGGTTCCCAAGAAGGCAATATCAAATGGAGCCCCAATATCAAATGGAGCCCCTAGAGTTGGTCTGGAATGTGCTGGCAGTGTGTGCAAAGGCCCTGAGGTGGGAGCATGATGGATTGGAAGCACAGGGAGTCCAGGGCAGATGGGGTGGGGAATGGAAGGGAAGAGACAAGGCTGGAGAGGTGGGAGGGTTCAGACACACAGGGCCTTGTGGGCCGAAGTATGGAGTTAGGATTTTACCAAGTGGGATGGGGGGCTGTGGGGGAGCAGGGACCCAGAGGGCAGCAGGAGTTGCTGCCTTTGAGGGAAGGCAAGGGCTCTCTCCCCCACCCAGCCCTTGGGGACAGACAGCTTCCATCACCCAGAAATGGAATTCTTCAATTCCTCAGGTGCTGGCCTCAGGGCTGGGGCTCTGCCTGGGAGTGAATGAATGACATCACCTGGACCAGGGTCAGTTGAGAAGACTCAGGGTCCACATGGCCTATTCTGGGGCCCCCACTACCCTGCCCTTTTCCCTCACAGACCTGGAGAACAGGGGGAGAGACTGAAGTCTTAGAGGGCTCTGGGCTACCTGCACGGCCTCATCCCTCCCTCCCAACAGCTCAGGGAGTACAGCGCTTGTTCCTGAGTCAGAAAGACGAGGAAACTGAGTCTCAGGGATGAACAACTACTTGGCCACAGCCACACAGCAACTGAGTCTTGTTCTGAGCCTCCACCAGGAGATGCCGTGGCCTCTGTGTGGTGGCCTCTACCAGAAGGGTGGGCTCTCAGGGATTAGTACAGGGGGGAGAAGAGCTCTCTCAGGTTCTATTTTCCCAGTGGGATCATCATGTGTTGGATGGGAGAGGTGTGTTCTAGAAGGAGGGTGGCCGCTTCCCCTACCCCGTGAGCTCACCAGTGCACCAGGCAGTTCCCTCCATTGAGGCGGCAACAGTGGATGAAGTTGATGCATTCTTTGAAGTGCTTTTTGCTAAAGAAGAAAGCCATTCGTTTGGGACCATTCTTAGGGCTAGAACTCCTGGACACTGTCCCCCTCCCCATGTATGGGACCATGAGCCCTGGGTCCTCCAGCCAGCCAGTATGTGCAAGCAATCGGGGCCAGTACTATAGTAGGAGGTGGAAGGATGCACCTCAGAAGGTGTGAGGCCGGTAATGGCCAGTACGGCCACACAGAGAGCAACAGCCTAGATCCCCTGAGCCTGAACCACCTCTCCCATGGGTGTGGTGGATCCTCTATTCCCCACATTGACTCCTCTGGGCTCTACATTCCTCTGGGGTTTACAAGCCAAGCACCAGGGAACAAGGACAGTGGCTAAAAGCAAGATCCCCAAGGGTTTGGAGTGTCTGTCTGGGTTCCTTCCAGGCTGAGAGGCACAGGAGGCTGCTGACAGCACTAACACAAATCCCTCCTTCTGAGCCCCCATGACATGCAGACCCTTCCCAGATCCTCAGCCCTCTTCTCGCTGAAATAGCACAAGTCATACACAGCCTACTGAGGACCCAGATGTGCTAACTCTGAGGGGAGGGACAGCCTAGGGCCTGACCCTTTCAAATCTGTTGGTGCCTCTGATCTCAAGAGGAAGGGTAATTTCAATAGGCCATAGCTGAGGTGCTATCTCAGGGAGGTTCAGAGTCTAGGTCAGGGGTACACCCCAGGGGCAAGGCTGAGACAGTCTAACCTAGATCCTGGGAACATGCTAGATCCTCAGAAGTGCTTGATGATCTGAGTCTCCTCCGGTCTCCCTTAAACCACCTCATGTCACACCATCCCCTCAGCCACCACCCCTGGAGCCAGCTGTTGGCCTATCTGTGTGTCTCTCCTGGGGAACTTACATGGGCACTTCAGGGGTGTCAGCCACTGGGATGCGAAGGTAGGTTATGTCCTGCAAGTACAAACACACTCAGGCACTGGGAGGTGGGAAGCCTCTTCCCCTTGCCCACATCCAGCTCAAGTACCTCACAAGCCCCGGCCAGTTCCCATACCTCTCTAGGTCTCTGCTCTGTCTGTCCTAAGGGCCCCCAGCCCTGATTGCTTGTTGACTCCAGAACCTTCTGAGCAGATGCCACATATCCTAACCCTGAGAGTGACCTGGGCAGGAGGGCTTGATAAAAGTGACGCAGAGTCCCTTTACGTCCTACCTGGGAAAGGGCTACCTACTTTCAATTCCTCTGTACATGATTGCTTTCTGGCCTCCTCCAATGGGGACCAGCGTTTCACAATAGGTCAGAGCAGAGAAGAGAAACAATGATGACGCTAAGCTTGCATTTCACAAGCTGTTAAAAGCCGTGTGTGTGTATGTGTGTGTGTTGTGTGAATCACTACAATAATCAAGGAATGAATGAAACATCCGCTCAGCATTCCCAATAAAATTGCCACAACATCCTTGGCTTCACGGTTACCCTTCACACAAGATCATAAAGATCATTTGTGCTCACACGTTCCAAGGACTTTGTTACTTTTCTGCAAGGACACTCTTTCATCTTCTGAAATTCAAATGCCTCTGTTCAGGTGCCGGACTCATCGTCGGCCAGATCCTCATTTGTCAATGACTTTGTGTGAGATTCCAGCCCGTCACCAACTCCTGGTCCTCAAGGTCACAAAACCCTGCATCCTTTGCAAGGTTTGCAATTTTATGTTGCAATGCTTTTGGCCTTGGTGGACACTCTCCAGCCCTGACTGGTGAATTCACTCCTGGCTGGGGAGGGATTGATGCTTGTGAGAGGAGGGGAGGGGTGTGGGAGCAAGGAATCATTGTCTAAGCAGCCATTCCATCAGTAAATACAGAGTCACACCTGGACAAGCTTCCCTCTGCAGTCTCAAAACAAAACCCAGCCCCTCACTGCTACTGAGCCTTTTTCAGCTCATAGTGATCCCTTAGGGCAGGATAGAACTGCCCCTGTGAGTTTCCAAGACTCTAACTGTATGGGAGTGGGAAGCCTCACCTTTCTCTGGAGGAGTGGCTGCTGGTCTCAAACTGCTGACCTTGCAGTGAGCAGCCCTGTGCACAACCCACTATGTCATTAGGGCTCTGCAGTATAGAGACTGCGTATTTCCAAATACTCTACAGCAAAGCTGTCCCACCAAGCAAACTCAGACATCACAGGTCTGGCAATGGCTTCTCTGGATTAAACTGAGGCTCATGGGTTATTAGAGGTTACTTGCTATCAGCTGCCATTGAGTGCATTCGGACTCAGTGACCTTATGTAGTTTCTAGGCTGTATGTCTTTACGGGAACAGATAGCCTCAAATCTCTCTCAGAGCAGCGGATGGGTTTGAACTGTCAGCCTTGAGGTTAGCAGTCCAACGCTTACCTGACAGTGCCATCAAACCGGACCCCCCTCCTAAGACAGAGGGAAAAACTGAGGCCCAGAGAGGGGAATGGCCCTGCCCAAAGTCACACAGCACACCTGTGGCACAGCCTGGTCTTGATGTCAGCTCTTCAGAGCCCTTTCCTGGTCAGTGTTCTATCCCATCAGTGGCCAGCGTGAGTAATCTAGACTCTCAAATCAGAAGGAAGGGACTCCGTGTGTGGGCAAGAGTAGCACTAACCTCAATATGTTGGCTGTAGTTTGTTGAATACCTACTATATGAGAATCAGTTTCCGGGACCCTAACAACTCTGTGAGGTGGGTACTTACTTCTGATTGTAAAAATCCCGATTTGACAGCTCAGGCCACTGAGGTTTCACAGGTGCAGTCTCCAGCCCCAGGTCGCAGAGGGCACAGGGGGAAGGCTATGAACTCAGTCTACATTAACCTCATTGCCCCTCTGGGTCCTAACTCAGGAGTGACACCCCCAACCTTCCCCAAGACACTCCCCAATCCACCCCCCACCTGGCTGTGAGCCACGCTTTCCACCAACCGGTAGCCCACCGGAAGCCTCGCCACAGCCCCCTGGGTACTCGCAGGATTAAAAGAACAGAGGCCCAGAGAGGTGCAGTCACAGCCCAAGGATACACAGCCCCCAAGGACCATCTCTCTGGAGTCATCCACCGGCTTGAGCGATAGGAAGCCCACCTGGAGGCCTCTTCAAGCTTCCACGTGAGACCTCGAGGACTGATAGCCTGCCGTGGTCACCTCCTGGCACCTGAGCTTTCTAGATCTGTGACCTTGAGTGAGGTAGTGGACCTCTCTGGGCCTCAAGGGACGGACAAAGAGGCCATCTAAAATGGCCATGTCAGATGCAGTCACGTGGGTCAAGGCACCAACCCAGGGTCTAGCACACAGTAGGAGTTTGAGGGTGCTGTGGGGTCTGCACCCTGGGCGGGGCCAGGGGGAGGGGGAGTGTTTGTTAAAGAGTACCTGCAGCAGAGGCTGAGGTGACTCGTGGATGGAAATGATGTGTGTGATCTTATTCCGGCCCAGCTGATCCGGGTCTTTGGCATCTGAAAGAAAGAGGTAACTGGCACCAATCTGGCAGATGTACATTACTTGTCCTTGATGGCCAAGGGAGCTGGGAGGGGGGAGGGGCGAGCTCTCTCCCTGGCCCCACCCCATGTCCCCCTCCTTCTCCTGTCCTGACAGAGCCTGCCCTTCCCTGAGGCCTCAGTCTTGAATCTTGAATCACAGCCTGGCCCTCCCCGTTCCTGTGGCATTTTCCCCAAACTACGTCCCCCCCTCCCCCCCACCGCGTGCGTCCTCTGACCCAGCAGTTCGACTTCCAGGAATCTCAGCTGCAGAAGTGTCTCCTCACACAGGGAGGGCTGTGCGGAGAGGGTGCAGGCTTTCTGCAGTGCAGCCGATCACAGTACACATGGCAGAAACCCGTCTAGCGACAGAGGTGGATAAAGGTACAGACCTACTTTAGGAGACTGGACAGCCATCAAAAGGTTTCTGGGTGCTGACCCCACGACCTACTAAGCGGGAAATGCAGGCTACAGAACCATTTGCAGCTATGTTCCTATGAGGGGACCACAAAGTATCCCTGGACAAAATGCCATTACTTTTTCATTCTCTCTCCGTGAACCTTTTGAAGGCCCCTTTATATTTCTGTTTTGAATCTGATACCTGTCTCCGCCAAGATCCTGGAGCCCTGGTGGCGTTGTGGTTACTTGTTGGATTGCTAACCAGAGGGTCAGCTGTTTGAAACCGCCAGCCGCTCCTCAGGAGAAAGACAGGGCTTTCCCGTGAGGAGTGACAGTCTCAGAAATCCACAGGATGGTTCTCCCCCGTCCTAGAGGGTTGCTACCAGTCGGAATGGGCTCCAAGGCAGTGAGTTCAGCTGAAGGTTGCCAGTTCAACCCCACCAGGTGGAGACTTGTTTCCACAGAGACCGTGGGCTGGTGTGTGTTGCCAGGTGGACTCTGACTCTGGGAGACCCCAGGAGACAGAGCGGAACTGCCCCACAGGGTTTTCCCTGCTGGCTGTCGTCTTTACAGGAGCAGATTGCCTGGTCTCGATCCTGCTGAGCTGCTGGGTGGGTCTGAACTGCAGGCTGTGGGTCTGTCGCATCACCAAGGTTCCAGCCATCAAGGTTCCAGCCAAGAAAATGCAAGGGAGCAGCTGCACTCTGTAACGCAGGGGTTGGCTGTGCCGTGGGGCTGACGCAGTGGTCATGACCATCAGCAACCGAATCCACAGACACACCCGAGGGATGACCCACGGGGATGCCTGGCCCAGGGCTTATCTTTCGATGCTGAGTTTCAGAGCAGCCAGATCTTGGGATCGTTAGAATAAATGGTATTTGTCCACCTCAGGGCCATCGGCTGCTCCGAGGGAGAAAGCTGAAGCTGTCTGCTCCTTTGAAAATGTAGAGTCCCTGGAAGGAGCCGTTCTCGTCAGTCTTATCCGGTCTCGAGCAGTTCAAATCGACTTGATGGCCGCGGGTTTTGCTGGACGGGCCTTTATATATGCCCACGGCCTCTTTCACCAAACACTGTCTGTGTCCCCCTTATGTCCAGCCTCTGACTGGACACCAGGGGTGTGAAGTCGGCCTCACGGCCCCATCCCTCATGGGTGTGTTCACTTAAAAGAGGTGCAGATCTTCTGAGGAAGCTTCCCAAAGTTCATGGGAAAACGTCATTGTCTTTTCATTCCATTTTTCCATGAACTTTGTGAAGTCCCCTTGTATTAGCCACATTCTCACGGAAGTCGAGGAGTCATGGCCTGCTGCATTAGCTCTCAGGAAGGAGCTAACCCACTAATTCGTGGTCCGTGGCTCCGACTTGTGGCGACCCCACAGGGGTGCTGAGTCTGTACACTCTCTTCTCTCTTACAGGGTCGCGGTGAATTAGAACTCACTCCATGGTAGTGGGTTTGTGTTTTTGAGATCTTTCTGGGAGCAGAAGGCCTGGGCTGACTTCCCAGAGTGGCTGATGGGTTTGAACCCCTGACCTTGTGGTTAGCAGTTCAGGAAGGAAGGGGAGGGGATTTATGTACTCATGGGGAGTGAGATAGTTTATTGTGCCAGCCTGGCAGATGAGGTAGGGTCCAGCCCACCCCTCTAGGCCCAGTCCTCGATGACACTTCCTGACTCCCCAGAAAGTGACTTTTTCCACCTTGGCTCTCTGACCTCGTGGCCCAAGATCTGTGTTCAAATCTGTCTCCCCCCTTGCCAGAATGGAAGCCCTTTGTGGGTAGGGATGGGGCATCTGTGCCATCCCCATTCACCAAGCTGACGTTTGTCGGGATGGGTAAGAGTTCAGCTTTCCACCCCCCTTGGCATGAGGGTGCCCAGGTGTTTAGTTCAGGGACTCTCCTGGTGGGCACAGGATGGACTCTGGGCTCAGGGCCCGGCTCATAGGAGGCCCAGCCCCAGCCTTCAGAGACTCCCCTTCTGGGAAATCGGGGAAAGGTTGCCAGCTTTGCAGCTAGAAGCAGAACCCCCAAACAGAGCTCATCCTAGAACCCTCTGCGGCGGAGCCTGTTTCTGCAGGGAGGCTGAGGCCCAGAGGCACCCCTGAGCCTCTGCTGTCTTTTGACCTCTAGTGGACACTGGTAGGGGAGGGTCAGAGGTAGCAGTGTGAAGTCACTGAGATGCGCCCTCCCAGTCTCTTCCTATGGGCACACCCCCTCGTGCCCACACCCCCCCTAGTCCTCCATGAGCCCTTTCTCCCGCCCAGCCTGGAGTCACATGCTTCCCTGCCCTTATGGCGTGGGGAGTCTGAATGGTGGTATAGGCCTGGCCCAGGCCCAGTGCCATGGCCCTGGGACAGTGGGCAGTGCTCACCAATGAAGTTTCCGAGGTAGAGTCCAGGAAGAACCTACAGGAAAGACAGGCAGGGCTCAATCAGTGGGGCAGGACCACTCCCTCTTCCAGTACCCAGCCAACTGACAGCCCACAGCCCTTCCTGCTTCAGTCCAGCCTGCTGAAGGTGTCAAGGCTCCACGCCACTCCCTCCCCTTCCCAAGGTCTGGGGCCTCCGGCAGAGGGGCCTGCGGCTCTGGGGAGGCAGCCGGTG